ACTGTTTCGAACTCTACACAGTGTTTGATGCAAGCTCTGGCATTGCTGGCTGAACCGCTGGTGTAGAGCTCGTTGGACGTTTCGAGAATATCCACATTAGTTGATCGACCACGCTGCTAGGTTATATCGGTTTTTCCTTTGGCTCTACGCACACGAATGAAAAGTCTAGACCCAGAAATAATCAGTTCGCTCAAGTCCGGACCCATTTCAGGATGTTGATGACCCTTGGCAGAGACCGTTACATCCGCCTGACAGGACCAGCTCCACGCCCTCCGAGCCTATTCTCGGGCGTCTTCACGAAAGCGCTCGTCACCGCGGCTTGCTTGCCAAAAGCCCGTCCTCCAGGGGGCTTGTATATTGAAAACATCATCCCTGGGAGCATTTTATTTCATCTTCACCCATCCAGCCACTTCCGGCTCCGAAGGCTAGTATACGACAGTGCTCAAAAACTGCCCTATGTGGAAATCAAAGTACACTGCTACTTGCTTACACGAGATGATGAGCCAGAATCACTGCTTCTCATTCACCATCGGCAACTAGAATACTAATTTCGCGGGCTGTCCCGCCCGCCGCCTGCGTGCTGATCGCCAGTTTGCTTCGGCCATGTACCCACCCAAACCACCCGAGCCACTGTCCTTGGCGGCCCTTACGAAGCCTTGGGTGATACCTGACCACCCTCACTTACGCCTCTCACCGTGAGCGGTGACGCTTGCATGGGGAGGTACCTTCGCCTTTGGTGGGCCGATAGCAGACATTTTTTTTTCTCCATGCGTCGTTGGCAATCTTCTGAGCTATAAGGGCCCATACCCAGATGCTCTTGTGCGTATGGGTCAAACGTCTTGCCAAGCAAGATATAATATGACCATGATAGTGTCATCCGAGGGATTATACCTATCTCCGAAGATAAAAACCCAAAGACGCCGAGGAAACCAAGTGATTCAATGCTCATAAACAAGTATCGTACAAGCGAGTTGCGCTGGCTTCGGGGTGTCACAACCCCAGGTTTCCGATTTCACACATCGGCTATCGCATTTACACAAGCAGTCACGCATGAGAAATGTCTTTATTCATCATCCAGTGACTTGCTGCCCAAGCGTCCATCCGAGACACCCACGTCACCCCGGCGCGTTCGGAAAAGAAACTCGACCTCTCTATTCATTGTTTTGGTCTTGATTTCTTGCGGAAAACTGAGTAATTGAGATGAAAAGGATCCAGTTTACCGTAAGGCCACTGGCATCATCCATCACGGACTTCACGGAACAGTGCCAGTCGACCCATTCGTGCAGCAAAGCGGGATGTAATGGTTGGACAAGGACAGTTCATGATGCTTCTGCATGCATCAGGTGACGTGATGGGACATGCGGTTTCATCGTCCACTAACACAGATTTCGAAGAAGGCCTAGTAGAAAATCGATGCAATCGATGTCACCCTCGGATCTTCACCGAGCTCCCCGTAACGTGGTCAGAAACAAGGATAGAGATCCCTTGAAAACTTTAACACCAGAAAGCAAGGGGTATAGATATCAGGCCTCAGATACGTATGCTATTCGCCTCGGCCGTAGAATTTTGAGTAAAACGTCTCATCCACGACTTCGTACGCTATGCAATTGCACCAGGACAAGTGCCAGGGTCCCATGTCCCTCATTATAGCTTCGTCCGCCAGCCACGCAGCGCCGGAGGGCTTAGGCAGAGGGCCTCCTGGATAAGGTTCAACCAAGATCAACAGGGACGAGGACCACAGCTACACAACATTCCACCTCCCCCAGCATACTGGCCCCGTCAGGCGATTGAAGGCGACCTGGATTTGGTATAGCAGTGCTAAAAGGAGAAGTTCCACAATGAACCAGGGAGTCAAAAGTGGTCCTCCACGATGCCATCTCGTGAAGCGACTGGCTCCTCACAGCTGCCCAAGATCGCCCCGATACAACGTGGTTGTTTAGTCGCGAACTGGGGATCTCTGGGCCGTGAATCTGACATCTTCTTTTGTCAGCATCGATCCGCTTGAGTGCTTAGTCCGTCATGGCCCATGGTCTAGGATCCCAGGAAATGGGAAAGGGATCTTGTTGCTTCATCCTTTAACAGCCAACAGAAGTCTTTGAGCGATCATGGGCTGATGAACTCATTAAAAAACGAACCAAACAAACAAATAACACGTCACTTCAGGAGACATGAAGTCAACTCTAATGTTCTAAGAGATTTCCCAAAATGCCTCCAAGTGACTGACACCGTACCTAGCCGACCTAATGCCAGATTCTAGGCTGTTTTGAATACCTCATCTTTACCACGAGCCTACGCCTTATGCGCTGTGAGGCACAACGAGTGGTTGGATAGGTAGCCAGATGATCTCCCATCGCCGGGGGGGGAATACCTGCCGAGAAACACGTCGCTGCCCAGCTTTACCCCTTCTTGTAGGCGCAGATACATCAGCAACGAAACCTTCTACCAATTCTATGAACCTGCCTGAAATACCATCACCTTGGCAGTCGCTGCATCTCGAGTGCCCCTTAGAAGTTCAAATTTGTCCATTGTCACAGTCAAATATACATTCGTATACGCAAAGTGCTGCAACGAGAGCGGCCACACACAACGGATAAATCAATTAGAGTGAGCCTTCGATTTTTGGCTGCATACCGATGGAAATTTAGGCGACTGCGACGACAAGTTTATTACTGCGACCTGCTGTAACCACAGCTCGTTTTCCTGGAATGACCCACGTGGATTATTGATGGCCATTGTCTCTTTCGAATCAAAATACAGGGAGGTTTCAAGTGATGCAGAGCGACGCTCTCACCAATCCAATCGATCGCACCTTTGTATCGTTGCAACTCTGCTCCCGTTATCTCTGATTGCATCTCCGAAAGATCCTCCTTGCCCTACCTACCTACTTCCTGTCGCTCCGCATCCCTTGCAAACTTGGTCCAGCCTTCGAGGGAAAAGTGGTTGGTTATACCACCCAAGAATCCCTCTCTGCACCAATCCCACGTTCATTTCATTTCTCTCACAGGGTTCTCGTCACTCGAATCAGAGTCACTACCTCAGAATGAGCAACCAACAAACTAGACAGCATCCTCCTATTCTCCCTTTTATCGGTCAGGCTCATTAGCAGACGAGGGCGTGCAGAGAGATTATTGCATATGCAGACCAAGAGGCAAACAATCATGTCTTGGCCCACGTACGTACGTCCCTGTCGACGCGGCACAGCCCCTCGTCACGCATGTACAGATATATGTGCCCAAATAATTTTCCGTGAGAAGTTTCGTATCTCGAGAGTGATGTCCTAGGCCAGCCCTTTTCTTTTGAGGCAGTCGCTCCTCTATTCTCGCCAAGATCTCACATCTCATCCCATCATTGTTGCCACCAGGGAGTCAGAGGATGGCGACAATGTCATGCCTGGCCTCTACGACTCTTCCTCACCAGTAGGACCATCAAAGAAAACAAATGACTTGAGATACATCCTAACGCCAGACGACCCGTGCCGCGTTGCATTAAGCTACGGGAGAACACGACAAGATGCTTGGGGCGGAGCACTTCCTCTGTCTCTCTCTGGCCGCCGCCCTGTTGGACCCCCTCCCTCCCCTATCCCCGCCCCTGGTAATATGTAGGAAAACTAAGCTGCCCAGGCAGCAAATGAAAAGAGAGTTACGGAATGCCTCCCATTCGACCGCATAGAGAACAACAAGAAAAAGAAAACAAAGATCAATAGTTCGCCCGCTCATGTTCTAGCCCACCAAACCCGCGAGCTGGTAACTGTATCAGTAATCAAGCTGATCTTGAGGGAATCAAGAAAAGCAAAAAAGAAAAAAAGAACAAAGAAAAATCCGAGATGAGCGGAAACCAGCCCTACAACCCAGGTTCTGAACTGTTCAAGGAAAAGAATCCGAGAACCACTGAAAATAATTAAGGTTTCAGACTCATCATATTATGATGGCGGAAGCACATACCCGCCGGCTTGAAAAAGTGAGAAGAGATATAAAGACCCTGAATTCATGTATCCATGGGCATGTTGCATATGAATGTACTGCTGGCTGATGGGGGATCATCGTCATGTTTCCTTGTCTGAATATTACCTCGCCGCCGTCTTGTTCCCCCTCAAACGAGTTGCGGTCACGCCCAACGTGTGCTTGCTTGCGAATGACACGCGTGTCTGAACATTTTCTTTTTTTTCTTTTCCTTTTTTGCCACTTTCCTCTCTGCCTTGCCATTTGAGGGGTTCGTTATTGGCGGTGTATATCGAGATTGTCACGGCCCGCATCGCCGAAAAAAATGCATGCTGGTTAGAGAACCCACGAGAAGACACGACGCGAGGACACATGATCTGTGATCACGAATAGAGTAGACCGGTAGCACAACATTGCACATGTGGGGAGACAGACTTGCAGAGACCAGAGACTTTTGCTTCCCATGCAAGTTTACGTTTTCATGTGTAATACTTTGATATGTGAGGAAGAGACACTATAACCATAAAACTCATTTCATGGAACATGAAGAACTTGTAAATAGTAACATCGTAAAATACGCAAATGAAAGTCTTCACTTAAATTTGTAGTATAAGCTAAATTTGAAGTTGTCGTAGCTTTTCTCTCTATTCCTCTCTCACTGATTTTTCTTTTCCCCTTCCCCTTTTCTCTTTTATTTTCCTCCTATTCTTTTTTATTATTATTTATCCTTTGAAGCGCGGAGGGAAAAAAGCATAGGGATAACAAGCAAAAATAGAGAAAAAAGGGGCAAAGAGAAAGAAGAGATAGAAAAAGAATATAAAAGGAAGAGAGACAGGGACGGACATAGAGAAGAGTAGAAAGATAGAATAATGAATTCAAATTCTATGCAAAGGTCTTATTGAAATACCGCCTTTGATAAGCCTAACAACAGACGCCTTCAACGCCATGCAATGCTCATGACTTCATACCCCCTCGTGAATACCTCTCTATATCGAGATATAATCCAAAGATCCAAAAACAACCTACCCTTCTCTCATATACAAGGCCACACAGTGGCCTGTCTTATTTGTTTATATACACGGGAATTCCATAAACGACTACTGCAGCTGCAGTCAAGTATCGAAACAGGCATGCATCCCTGGCTTTGGTGACAGCCTCAACCAAGCTCGTAGACTTCCTTTGGTCCACATCATCGTCGCTCCCGGTGGCAGCCTTATTGCCACCCTTTCCCTTCCCCTTCCCCACCGCCTTGCCTTTGCCCTTGATGTTGGGCCCGTCCTCAGCAAATGTGCCTCGGGGCATCAACCCCCATTCTTCAAAAACTCTGCCAGTATAGCGATCGATATCCCGATCGGTGACATCCCAAAGCGTCCCGACGACGGCAGGGCTACCAGCGAGCATGTAGTTCCACACAGGTCCGTGGTTCTCAAAGTCTCCCACATCCGCTAAGCTGGCGGAGGAACAACCCATAAGCAAAGCTACGGCTCGGCACTTTTCCATTTTTCGGATCGTTCGGCCACGGATATACTGCGCACCAGAGCCGTGGCCGAAATATAACAGCAAGTCGGAACTGATGAGTGACTGCTCGAATTCGGCCTCAGTAGGAACGCGTGTCTCGATGCTGGACCAGGTGGGTGGTAACGTCGCCAGAGGTTTGCCAAAGGTAGCTTGTGTCGATTTGAGGTCGGCACTAGGGTTGAGGATGTAGGTACCAGAATGGAACGATATGTGGTGACCACTTGCTTCTGAACGAGTTGTACCAGCTTCCGCTTCTTCGCTGGACTCAAAGCACTGGACCGGGGAAGCACGCTGCTCCAGGATGGAACGGCGTAAGCAGGCTAGCGATGGCACTCGGGACATGGCGATTCCCTGTGTGCAAGGTAACGACTCCCAGGGGAAGATGTGTAGAGCCTTGTCCAATATTAAAACGGTATGAGTATGCTCATCGCTGTGATTGTTATTCTTAGCCGCAGCGTGATAGGAACGCAAGGCATCAAAAGTTTCAACCACCATGACGTCAAAGTCGATCTCGTCGTATGCGTTACGCTCCCCGTGGAATTGTAGAATATCCACTACGAAGTATAGCAGATCATTTAGAGGCTCATCGAGATCGCACTCGGGAATCGTCGCGTCTCCGAGTCCAATGAAGAGGTCCAAGATTCTGGGGTCCAACGAGACCTTACCCGTCGTAGCCGCTGCCTTGGTGCGCTTGCCGCGAACCTGTCGTCTGGAAGGAAGGTGCTTGTCGAGGACATTCTGGAAACTCTTCTGGAACTTTGCAAGCAGTTCAGTTCGGCGGTGCTGTGCAAAAATGCCTCGGAACCCACCAAGCCAGGTGTGTTCAATGTCATCGAGGAGGGCTTTCATGCGCTCATCCAGAGCCTGTCGCTCAGCCCACCATGCGGACTTGGCTCCCTTGTTGTTCATGTCCCTGGCATCGTGGCATGTTCTGTTGGCCTCCTTCACAATCTCCAACATCTCGGCGCGTCCTTGTTGGAAGTCAAACACGTCAGAATCTGCGTCCCTAGAGTTGGCACGTTCGAGGGGCAGACGAATGGCGAATGGACTGTGGTCGGCTTGGAGCTTGGTAATACAGAGATCGCGCTTGTTATCGCTCAGAGATATGGACACAACATTCCACGACTTGGGGATGATGTCCACGAATTCCCGCTGGAACCGTGTCATATCCATGGAATTTCCAAGGCTTGACCTCCTCGGATCTGTGGCTTGTTGCAACAAAGGCCACTCTGCTTTCTCTGACTTGTTATGGTCCACGCGAAGGGTCTTTCGTTCTCGACGCCACACCAAGTTGCGTGCCAGCTCAATGGAACATGTGGCATGAGCAGGATGGCCAATGCCAGAGGACTTGGTTGGGCTTGTCGTGGAGAGCAGAATGAAAACATTTTGCAACAGTGCAGCAATGCGATACACAAGTCCAGCATCGCCATTAAGACTAGCAATCGAATGTGCCTCGATCAGGCAATCGTGAGCCTGCTGCAGATGGGCGAGGAAGCCTACAGAGTTCGAAGCAGCACGTCCCTTTCGTGGCGAGGTAGATCTATCGCGGGGGCTGGCCTTTTCCTTGGCGGTCGATACAGTAGCCACTGCTGGAAACGACAGAGTTGAGTCTTGGATCACAGAAAACACCGAATCTCTTCCCATCAGCTCCAAACTTTGCCCGATAAGCGCCATGGCCCTGAGTAGTCTCTCCTGAACAATATCGGTGGAGAGTTTGGACAGCTCATTTGCGGTCTCGAGCGAGGCAACGGCCTGCTCCCAATGTTTGCCGTCGAGTAGAGAGGACGATTTGTGCTGCAGCATCGCTGCGCGCAGGAAGGTGAGCTGCACATCTTGAGGAGCCTTGGGTACCTTGGCCGCTACCAGGGTCCTTTGCTTGGCTGGGACCAGCTTTTTCGAAGTAGTTTTCCTGGTTGGTGCTGTCGTTCTAGTTTTCGTTTGCCTCGCAGATGATTTAGGCGCTGGTTTGTCTTGGATAGTGAGCGCCTCCATTTTCGTTTCAATTTCAAGGGGTTTCTTGTCTCCGCTGCCCTCCTCAAGGTTGTTCAGCACAGAATCTGCCATGGCCAACAAGTAGGCTTCGGTATCGAGTTCTGATGCTTGGCGATAAATGCGGCTCAGCTGGCAAGTCATGTCCACTACAGCACAAGTCGGATCCAAAGTAGGCAATGACTCCATGACTTGCGCAGCTAGTTCGAGCGCTTTGTCTTGGTTGCCGGCCTTCATAAATACATGTGCCAGCCAGTACCGAGATTGTGAAATATGGCTTGGAGATTCGGTACTAAGCGCAATTCTCAATGCTTGCTCAGCATAATAGATCGTCTCCTGATACATTCCAATGTTGGCGTAAATTGTGGAAAGCCTCGTGACAAATCGGAACAAGGGATACACAATTGCCCAGAATTCTGGTCCTGTGCTCGCACGAGCGAACTCGAGCTGCGAACATTGTGAATTGTTGAAGCTGGCATCATCTTCGGACAGTTGTGAGTGATGTGAGTGAGAGGCGTCTTCGTTGTGCTCGGGTAGAGAACTTCTCAGAGCCTCCAGTCTCGTCCAGTCGTGAAAAAGCACGCGTACAGCCGTCTTTGCATTGTGTAATGCATGATGAGATTGCCCACGCTCGAGGGCGAGAAGCGAATGGAGGAAAGATGCGTATGCCACTAACATCTTACTTGTGAATCGGCTACTCTTGGTAGGCTTTTCGGAGGCCTGCGCGGTGGCAAAGGTGTGCGCCTGGCTGAGGCATTGCTCGGCGCGCTCAAAGTTACCAATAGACATTTCGTACTCGGCAGAACAAAGATGGTAGTTGGCCATAGAGTCTGGCGATAGTGTTCTTTGCGCCAGGAATTCTTGACCAGTCTTTAGCAACTCGGCAGCCTTCTGAGAATGGCCTAGACTGAGATGCTGAAGACTGAGAGCCACAATTTGTGACATGAATAATTCTGGATTAGCTTCGCAGACCATTCGAGAGACTGCTGTTGAGAGTTTCAAAGTTGACCCTAAAAGTGAACTCATTCCCCTCATCCGTGCAAAGTCGGCAAGTCCCTGAAGGACTGTGATGAGCTGAGTTGGACTGTCGATGTATTCGTTGATATCGCCTGCTGACTGTGATCTTTGCACTGCTTCGTTCCAAGTCTGCAAGGCCTGCTCGACCGCTGCCGCACCGGGTTCGCAATGCATTAATGCACTGATGCAAGCGGTCAAGGACTTCAGATGAGGTATGTAACGGCCCAGGCCGGAGTCTTGTTCACACGAGGTATTGTCAATGGCTTCTGATAATGCTTCCGCCTCTTCCATCCATACCCTGACCGCGTCTCGAGAGTCCAAATTAGTGGACAATAGCTGCAACAGTATTCGAAGACGTCTGATGGGGTGGATCTGTCGGTCAAAGGCTCCAAGAAGCGATTCAATGAATGGCTCGCCTGGTGCAAGTTGCTTGCGACGCTTTGAGTCAACCAAGTAGATGAAGTAAAAATCGTGCTCCAGGGCCAACGACTTTTGTGCATCAGGCAAGAGCCCAGTCCAGTCGCTAGGAGTGACATCCAACTTAGCGAGACTGCACACTGACCTTGATAGAGATACAGTCTTGTCGCTTGAGGCCCAAGCCTGTAGCACGGTCTGATGCGACAGTGCTTCGAAAACTTGCTGGGTGATGCCTTCCTGGACTAGGGAGTCTCTGGCGGCTCGCAAAGCGTCAGCAGCATCCTCTTTGCGGCCCGTTGATCGGTACAACTCAGCCAGGCGTTCCTGCTTGAGTTGTAATTGTGCCTTTGTCTGCTCCGCCTCTGGTCTCTGCTTGACAGCATCAATTGATCTTCGAAGGGCCCTCAAGAAATGGTTATCCTTTTCCTCGCGTAATATGACGTGTTGTTGGTAGTAAAACGAAGACACCTTGACGTGATAAGAAGCAGCAGTCGCATTGCTCTTGGAAAGCAGAACAGCCAGATCACCCATGTTGTCAAGGACAGCTAGAATTTCCTGTAGTACAGAGTCCATCAAAGCCCAGGGCATCTTCTTTCTGTCGAGCAGGTCCTTGATTAAGACCAAGGCCGAGTCAAGCACTGTCGGGATATATCTCGAGAGCAATTGCCGCCGCTGCTCAAAGCGCACCATATCCTTGGCTGAATTGCTCGAGGCTGGTGGCTTTCCAAGCCACCTGGAAGTGAAGCGTGGAAGCTGAAGAATCAGGGATTCGAGGGAATCTCGCAATGGTACCGGAACCTTGCCAAGTTTCGAATTACCCAGTGCCAAGTTGATCGCGGCGCTGCGCAGTTGACAGATACTGACGAGAAGGTCGTCCAGCTCAGTAGAACTGCCACTCAGTGACCCTTGAAGTCCATCAATGACTTCTGTGAGTAGGTCAAGGTCTGCAGTCGGCGGCGATTGCTTCAGCAAAAGAGTAATGAACTGTGAAGTCACGGCGCAGCACCTCGCTGGGGAGTCCTGTTCGGGAGTCGTTATTTCCTTCAACTTTTTCATCCACGCTGCTGCCTCTCTGAGTTTGCCGGCCTCTCGCGATGCTGTACCAAGTACTTGATAGATTGTCGGTAGTGGTGACTTGGAAACCTGCGAGGGCTTGAGGCCCATTGATTCCGTTTTCTCCCATAACTGGTTGAAAACCGAGTTGATTGTGTTAAGTTTGTCTGCAGGTCCTGAAGTACTCCTCCGAGAAAAGGCTAATAAGCACTTTGAGAGGGGGAGGAGGATATCATCATCAACGCTACCCTTTTGGCCAGACAGCGCCCAAGAATGAAGCCTAGTTAATAACGCCAGAGCCTGAGCTCGAAATGCCGCCTCGGCTGAAGGGCTTAGCTTTGGGTCCGTAGCCAAAGCATCCTCCTGTGATGAGACGCTCGGCGTTAGTGACAGCAGGATGTGTGCTAAACTATCCAACTGCCTTGCGCATTTCGAACTATCGCTCTTTTCTTCTTTTGCGCTTGATAACAAAAGCGATAGCGGCGAAGATGGACTGCTGACGGCCAAAAATGGAAGTACATCCTCCAATAACCTTGATTTCTTCATTCCATGTAGTAGGCGTAGGGCCTGAAGTTGGCTGGAAATGATCAAGGCGAGTACCGCTCCAGAAGCACTGCTTTCTGGATAATCGAATAGGTCTGTCAGGGCTTTGGCTGTTGTAGCATCCGCTGCTGTAGCTTTTGAACTCTTGCTGGTCGCACCTAGCGTCCTTCCCTCCAGGCGCCGTTTGAGGAGTCGCAATTCCTTGAATGCATGTTCGAAAAGGTTCAGCGCCATCAATTTGTTGATAAACGATGACATTCCAGATTCTAACTGTAGCTCGGGAAGTGTGACTTTTCCGGCACTGGACAGCGTTCTCAGGGTCGCAAATGCTGCGCGCGCGCGTTCGACTGTGGCAAGACACCCGGACCCTGCCACTGGCAAGGCGGGTTTCGTGACAGAAGGAGATGTCGACACCCTATTAAGAGATCGCGGCTGAAGGGGCGTCATCGGTGTCGAATTCGATCGTCTGAGCGCGCCGCGTTCGGCAGGCTTCGTCTGTCTATTATTGTTTTGTGATGTGGGGGTTTTGGCTGCTTCCCCCAAGGACTTGAGCGTCTCATTGATGACTTGAGTGGCCAAAGTGGCCTCCTCCTTGGGAGAACGCGCATCCGTCGTTTTCGTTTGCGCCGGCCGCTTTGCGCTCGTGGCGGCTTTCCCTCTCGCTGCCATCTTTGTTGGTTGATTTGGTGATATGGTTTCGCAGTTGAGCTTTGAGATGGAGCTCGAAGATAGTTGTGGAGTCATCGGGGCCCAAAATTAGCTAAGCTGCCGTTGACGGGGCAACAGCGGAGACTAACGTGCAATTTTGGAGAAGGAACAAGAGGCTTGATATTCTTTCCCTTTTTCAATTTTCTTTCTTTCTTCCTTTTCCCCCTCCTTATCTCTTTTCTTCCTCTTTTTCTTTAATTCTCTTTTATTACTTTTCTTCTTCTTCTATTTTTTTTTTCAAAATTCTCTCTCCTTTTTTAATTATTATTCTCAAATCTTTAGTTTTCTTTCTTTTTTTCATTCTCTCTTTCTTCCTTCTCTCATTTTCTTATTCTTATCTTTTTTTCGACTCCTTATTGATTTCTCCAACTTTTCCTCTTAAGCTTATTCTAGTAGAATTGCTGCATAAAGCAAAGAAAACAACGACTTGAACATTCAGTAGTCCTATGTAATAATTCCCACAATACCGTAGAAGAACTGTTAGTTCTCCATATTGGGTTAGCTACGGTAAATTTAATGCTCCTCTTTTGGAGCTCGAGTCTTGGACCCCTGTCCGCTCTTGACTTCGCGCTAGTAATTCCCGTCATCGCAAAGTCTCGGTAACTTTTTTTCCTCTTGACTTCTCTGCCCATTGTCTGCGCGACAACCTTACCAGAGCTTTCGCAGAAGAGTCAACATCCACCATGGAAGAGATCTTGTACCGTCGGGCTGTGCAAGCTTCGCTGAATGCAAGAGGTGCTATGTTATTTCCGAGGGCCAGACACGCTGCTGTTCTCCCGGCGGTGCGCAGGTACAGCTCAATGCCAACCGTTGCGCAGCCATCTTTCTGGAGGTCCCTCATCCCCAAACCCTGGCGACCCAAGGAGAAGCGACCCGACGTCAATTTCGGACCCCCCAAGACGCTCAAGAAGCCGAAGAAGGATTGGAATCCTGCGACATTCTACATCGTCATTTTTCTCTTCATCGGCTCTATGTCGATCCAAATGATCTCGCTCAAGAAAGACTTTAATACGCACATGAGGAGAGCAGAGACCAAGATTGGCATACTCCGAGAGGTCGTTGAGAAACTGCAACGCGGAGAAGAGGTGGACGTGGAAAAAGCGCTAGGAACAGGTGATGCGGAGCAGGAGAAGGAATGGGAGAATGTGCTGAGGGAAATCGAACAGGACGATGGCATCCGAAATTCCAAGAAGGGCGATCGTTCTAAACAGCCTCCAAGCACCAGCACCGAGCCAACGCCAGCGTCTAAGGATCAACAAGGAACAGCAGCCGCAAACACAAAGACGTCAACAAATACTTTTACCGGGTTCTATTAATCTCTTATATGGCGAAAAATACCCTAAAATACATGCGTCACACCTCTCAGGACATCATATCCTTGAAAACAGAAGCGCCGTGGTCTTCGACCTTGTGATGAATGCTCTCGTGAGCATGGTGGAAATCCGATGATTGCTTCAGCTCTTTCACAACTTCTGGCAACAGCAGATCTGTCGACATCTCGACTCGGAAGCCTCGTGTACCGTTCTGCAGCGGATCTAGATCTGCACAAAGAGCCTCTTCGCCCCTCACTCCTCCCAGATTGACAATTCCGACCGGTATACCCCGATCCTTGGCCCTCTTGGCCAAGCGCCATGCTGAGTAGGTCGCCAAGGATGTGCCCAAAACGAGGAGCTTATCGGCGCTTTCAACTGCGTGATCCGCTTCCGTCTTGATTTGAGTGGGGATGCTTTCTCCGAACATGACAACGGCTGGTTTGAGGATACCGGCATTGCTGGTTGGTTTCCAAGCGCCATCTGCGTCAACCTCGACGGTTGATTTGCCACCTTCGACCTTTGCCGGTGGATGAGCAAGGCATCGCGGACAAGCTGGATATCGAAAGGTGGTGTAAGGCGCATCTGGCACGTCCACATCACCATCAGGATTTGTCCTCATCCCTCGCTTCGTGCGTTCTTGGGGATTCTCCGTGTCTAGGGCCCCAGTCGCTATAATCTCCTGCAGAAACGCAGCCCATGCAGGATTCAATCTGGCAAGCTCGTCCTGGAAGACATCCCTGGGGAGCTCGTGGCGGCAAGAGACACAGACCAGTGCTCGCAGATACCCGTGTAGCTCAATAGTGGAAATGTTTGGATGAGCTATGGAATGGAATGAGTCCACATTCTGCGTGATGACTTGTTGAACAAAGCCGAGATCTCCAAGTTGCTTTACGGCGTAGTGACCAGCATTAGGCTTGGCTTTATGTAATGTCGTCCATCCCAAGAAACTCCTCGCCCAGTAGCGTTTTCGTGCCTCGTGGTTTTGTATAAACTCAGAATAATAGATGGGGCGGTATGTCTTATTCACCCGATATGTGCCATTGGTCCCACGATAGTCAGCTAGACCACTCGCCACGGAAACTCCGGCGCCGGTGAGTACCAGAGTAGATGCCGGGTTGCCCCTCGAAGTAGGCGCCGTGAAGAACTCTGATAGAGCTGATACTGCACCAGCGATTGTAGTCGCACTCTTGGGGGTCACGGTTGGTGGTGCTAGAACATCCGTGTAGGGAATGCGCATATATGGCTTGCGCAACATTTAGGAGGTGGTTTGATATGAGCTTCTTCCAAAGATCTGCTTTCCCCTCGGCTTAACCCTTTCTCAAAGAATAAATCAAATGATATAATGCACGTTCCGAGGGCTTGTTAATGTGGTATCGCTGTTGGTTGTTCGCGTATGCCCAAGTTTGGGTTTATTAATCTGATGCTCTCATACAGAATGAAGTTCAAGTCGTCACCAGTGGCGCGCTAGTCCATTATGCACCGAACAAAGCTAAACCCGCTTGGGACGAAGAGCAACAGAATTTTAAGCTTAGCACAGGGTCTGCTAAAAATGACAATATTTTACGGAAGCAAGATTTTTATTGATATAATTGTTTTCAGGTGTATTCTTTTCTTTCCATTTTCCTATTCTTCTAGATGAACAATTTCAATAGCGAATTGTTAGGTAGAAACCCGACCTGATCTGGATACGTAGCAATTCAATAAGCACATGCCTCAAAAAGTGCTCTTGATGTCATTTAACTGTTCTTTGGTCCAGAGTGTGTCCACAATGGATCAAGAGATGGAGTTGCAGTACACTATAAGGACCAAATTGGTCTAGCCAATGATCAAGCAGCCCCAGAGACGCCAATTAAAGCACGCGAGACAAGAGTGAACTTGATGCGGATTCGCAGGTGAAGGTAAGATTGCCATCCAATGCGTCCATATTCTGTGAGAAGTATAGGCGTGTCTTTACGTTTTTGTGGTTAATAAATTGTGCCTCCAATGAAAGTTGACCTATTATTGAATAGAGTAATTAACAGGTACGTAGCATACGTACAGCACATCAAACAAACAGGGTCCCCTGGTAGGTATTGGCAGGGCCACGTCCAAAAAGTCACCCACAAGCCGTGACTAACGGGCCCGTCCGCTTACGTCGCCCTTGGCTGGGCATTTGCTGGGCCAAACCAGCGTTGCGCGTTTCAAAGCCAGTTGACCTGCTCGCTACCCCATCCGATGTCGTCGGTATTGGCTGGGGATCACCTCGAGCCGGCTTGCCGATACAGGCACTTTACCTGACAGGACTTCATTGATTCCTCTCCAGCGACCAGTCTCAGTCTATCGTTTTTTTGGATCTGCGCGCAACCACCAGAACTAGGAAGTGAAGAAGCAACACAACGCTCTCTCACACACGCACGCACAAACACAATACACGCGCGTCGACGGCACGCACACCCGCTGCACACAGCACAAGAGATTGGCATTCATTCTCCGCGGAACAAGCCCGAACGGCACCTACCTCCCTTCTGTCTACCTAATTGATTCGTACCTACCCCAAGAAAAAAAAAAGCGCTGACCGGCTAAAACCAAGAGGTGCACTGTACTGTCCATGCTCTCTCCGCCGCCATGTCTGGCCGACGTTGCGCAGGCCTGAGGCTGCTGGGGCTTAGGGGCCGCGTAACTCGTGTGCAACAGGAGAGCTTAAGCCGTCTCTTCAATAATCAGTCCCTTTCTTCAGCCCTGCACCACGATTACCCCTTGAGGACACATAAGCCCCAGCTATATTTGTGTCGCGTGCTGCAAACTTCCTCCTGCACTCAAGACTCTCCTTCAACTACTGTTGACTTTCGTGCGCCATCCCTCCTGGAAACCTACCGCAGGCGCCGCGCCCGCTCCCTACCCATCATGAGCTCAACCCAGACTCGCAGCCACGGCGGCCACCATCACCACCATCACCACCACGACAATGTGTACCTTACTTCCCAGAATAAGAACGACGCCGGTGTTCGCATCACCCGACTTGGTCTCTATTCCAACCTTGGCATGGCCATTGCCAAGGGTGTCGGCGGCTACGCCTTCAACTCCAAGGCCATGATCGCAGATGCCATTCACAGCGTCACGGATCTTGCATCCGACATCCTTACCCTGGCCACCATTTCCTGGAGCATCAAGCCCCCGACCGACAATTTCCCCACGGGCTTTGGCAAGATTGAGAGCTTGGGATCGCTCGGTGTATCATCCATGCTCTTCTTTGGCGGACTTTGGATGGGTTACGGCAGCTTGTTGACCCTTTACGGCCACTTCTTCCTGGATCCTGCTGCTGCTGCAGAGCTTCTCGAGCACGCGCATTCCCACGGACACAGTCACGATCATGGTACCGACATTGTTCCTAGCATGCATGCCGCCTGGCTTGCTGCGGGCACTGTCGCGATCAAGGAATGGTTGTACCATGCTAGTAAGTCTTCTTAGTAGTAGTGATATCAATTCATGCAGAGCAAACCAAATTAACAATCACCCCTCTAGCCATGAAAGTCGCCAAGGAGCGCAAGTCTTCTGTCCTCGCCTCGAATGCCGTCCACCACCGAATCGACAGTCTTACTGGTATTGTTACGCTTGCAGTCATCCTCGGCGCCAACTTTCTCGAGAATGCTGCTTGGCTTGATCCAGTCGGTGGACTCCTCATCTCTCTCATGGTAGTCAAGGCTGGCGCAGAGAACACGTTTGCCGCGCTTTTTGAATTGGCAGATCGCGGAATTGACGATGAGGTCAAGACCTCGGTTCGCAAGCATCTGCGCCGAACCTTCTCCGACATCCCCGATGGTCACCAAATTGAACTGCGAGATGTCTCGGGTATCAAGTCTGGTCAGAACTACTTGGTTGACCTCGAGGTTGCTGTACCCAACACCTGGACCGTTGAGCAAACAAGGGATGCCGAAGAGCAGATCCGCACTCGTGTGGGAAGCAAGGTTCGCGGCGCTCGCAGAGTGCGTGTTCGCTTCGTGCCCAAGGCTGCTGCAGTTGCTCCCAAATTTGACGAGTTCATCTCTGGCGATGTTAGCCCACGGTCAAGCCCCGAACCCGAGGATGATGACCACAACCACGGCAACGGTCACCACAAGTCACACTAGACGAGACCAAGAGGCACCACAGCTCTTTGTACAAGCATTACTCTTTTGGCGTTTTTGAGGGGATACGAGAGAATAGTTCCTGGCAGGCGAAAAAGGCAGTGATTGCCATGATACCAGTCGTCCTGCAACTTGAGCATCTCGGATCGTTAGATTTGGGCACGTACGTGTGTATACTAAGGTATCTTCCCACATTGTGTGAGAATCTGCATAGATGGCGTTCTGGAAATTGGCATAAAAAATTTCTGTTTTTGGCAGACTACTTGGCAGTTTTCATTTGATGCAACAGACGAGGATTGCTGGTCAGCAGTCTCTGAGATGCAGAATCTGGATAGTATTCGGCCAGTAAGAATGCAGACATATTTGAGATCAAGAAACATATTTACAATCCAAAAGGAAATTGACTCCTTGTAAACCGACTGGTCATTTAAAATGCTCGTCTCTCTTCCACGCGCAAGCATCCAAGACTTCTCATTATTGATGCGGCTCAACTGACTTGTACCACAGTCGCTGATAGGAGCGCATCAACTGCACAGCTAATAGGAAATCATTTTAGCCTGAATCGCTGGCCCCCTTAGCAAGCAAGGCTGATGATTGCCCCGCTATACTACCTGCCTTCTGAGCTCATAGCGGGTACCCTGAACCCCACGTTGATTGCATCAGGGTCCCCATATACGCTCCAGCTCTGTCACGATCCCCGGATCTCGGTGTGGCTACTTTGTTTTCGTCATGTCTCACTGATGGTCAATTATCTTTGGAGCTTTCTTCTATCTAGTACAGTAAAACTTCTCTTTCTACTCTTTCCCTTGAGTGCTTCTCTTGATTGCCAACTTAGTACCTAGGTTAGACAGGAACTATAAGCCAGCGAGACAGGATGAGCTCTGGACCATTGTATCTGGGTTTCGACCTCTCGACCCAGCAATTAAAAGGTATTTGCATTACTGTGGCAATTTTTTCCCCCCTCCGCAGGAAGAAAAGTCCCATCTCTTCTTTGTCAAATAAAACTTGTTCGGCTGACAGGAATCCCCCCCTTTGCCAGCTATCGTCGTATCCTCGGACCTCAAGGTCGTCTCCGAGGCCAAGGTCGACTTTGACGCCGACTTTGCCGCCAAGTACGGCATCAGAAAGGGCGTGCTGCGCAACGAGGATGAGGGCGAGGTCTACGCACCCGTGGTCATGTGGCTCGAGGCCCTAGACCTGGTGCTTAGCCGGTTAGTAGAGAAAAAGTGCCCCGTTGAGAACATTCGCGGTATTTCCGGTTCGTGCCAGCAGCATGGCAGCGTCTTTTGGAACGCCCACGCCGAGGGCGCCTTGGGAGCATTGGACGGTGGCAAGACCCTCCATGAGCAGCTCAACCATGTCTTTGCCTACGAGTTTGGGCCCAACTGGCAGGATCACAGCACCCAGAAGGAGTGCGACTTGTTCGACAGCCATCTTGGCAATGCGGAGAAGCTGGCAGAGGTGACCGGTAGCTCAGCTCACCATGTAAGTCAAAATGATTACTGAATGCATTCGAGAGCAATCACTAATATCTTGGCCAGCGATTTACTGGAACACAAATCTTGCGCATGCGCAGGAGAAGACCACAGGTTTACTCCGAGACTGCGCGGATATCCCTCGTATCCTCGTTTCTGGCGTCGGTACTGTTGGGCACGATCGCGCCTCTGGATATTGGTGACGTCACCGGCATGAATCTTTGGGATATTCCAAACCACAAATGGGACGAGTCGCTGCTCGAGCTCACGGCCGGCTCCAAGGACGCCGTGCCGGAGCTGCGCCAGAAGCTGGGCGAGGCGCGCCAGGACGGTGGCGGCAGCATGGGCGCCATTTCGTCCTACTTTGTCACCAAGTACGGCTTCAGCAAGGCATGCCAGGTCGCCCCGTTCACGGGCGATAACCCGGCCACCATTATGGCGCTGCCGCTGCGACCGCTCGACGCCATCGTCTCGCTCGGCACCTCGACGACATTCCTCATGGTCACGCCGACGTACAAGCCGGACCCGTCGTACCACTTTATGAACCACCCGGCCAACCCCGGCCAGTACATGTTTATGCTGTGCTACAAGAACGGTGGACTTGCTCGGGAAATTGTGCGCGATACCTTGGAGAAGCCCAGCGACGCGACCGACCCCTGGGCCACATTCAACAAGAATGTGTTGGACACGCCTGCGCTGGGCGTCACCCCCGACTCGGGCGACCGCGCAAAGCTGGGTCTATACTTTCCCCTGCCCGAAATCGTTCCCAACATCAAGGCGGGAACCTGGAGATACACATCCAAGCAGGACGGCTCGGATCTACACGAGGAAACGCAAGGTTGGGACTCTTCGCTTGACGCACGAGCGATTGTCGAGTCGCAGGCCCTCTCGATGCGCCTGCGTTCGCAGAACCTCGTCTCGGGCCATGGTAAACTGCCCGCTCAGCCGCGCCGCATCTACCTTGTTGGTGGTGGTTCCCTCAACCCGGCAATCCAGCGCGTGATCGGTGATGTATTAGGAGGTGTTGACGGAGTCTACAAGCTCGATGTGGGCGGCAACGCCTGCGCTCTAGGCGGTGCTTACAAGGCTGTCTGGGCTCTGGAAAGAAGCGAAGGCGAGAGCTTTGACGAGCTCATTGGCAAGAGGTGGACCGAGAAGGGGGCTATCGAGAGAGTTGGCCAGGGATACCGGGAGGGTGTCTTTGAAAAGTATGGAGACGTGCTCGGCGCATTTGGAGAGATGGAGAGCAAGATTCTACAAGTCGCTCACAACTAGGTCATTTCATTACAACAGGTACATAGCAGGCTTCTGGTTATCGATAGATTTTTTATTATTGTCTTGTAATATCGAGGCGATAATAAACAGACTTTTCTTTCGGATGGACATCACATCCATTATTCGATCGTGACCTTTTTTCCCCCTTGCCGAAAGATCTGCGCCCTGAAAAATTCCCGTACTGCACGCACCGTTGACAAAACTGTGGACGAATTCCCCACGCTCGACCACAAGTGCCTCGCCCTGTACTTCAAATATTTGCTGCCTTTCCGCGTTTTTTTTTCTTGAGGTTTTGGTGTTGAAAGTTCCGATGCTTTTGAGACCCTTGATTCTGTTGTCTCCTATAACTGGTTGAGAACCGAGTTGATTTTGTTCAGTTTATCTGCAGGTCCTAAAGTACTCCTCCGAGAAAAGGCTGACAGGCATTTCAATAGTGGGAGGATATCATCGTCAACGCTACCGTTGTGACTCGATAGCGCCCAAAAATAATAATTTAAAGAAAATAAAAAAAATCAAGCCTTGTTAATAGCGGCAGAGACCGAGTCCGGAATGCGACCTCGGCTGAAGGCCTGAGATTTGGGTCTGTGGCCGATGCATCCTCCTGCAATGAGATACTCGGCGTTATTGACAGTAAGTCCAGTTGTTGGTGGCAAGAAGTCTAGTTAGTGGTGACAGAGAATGATTGTAGAGGATCCCAAAGAGTTTGGTGGACATCTGGGTGTGTATGGCTGGCTCAATGAGGATGAGTTCCTTGGCGCAGCGGAAGTTTCCAGAGGTCAATGTGTTTGGGATTACCTTGTATTTATAACCAGTTCCTGGAGCGGGCAGACTACCTACGTAAACAAAGTACTTGGGCATCAACGTCCGCGTAGATCTTTCCTGCGAGTTAATAGGAACCAGTTCTATGAAAAGTGGCAGGACCGTATCTGCAAAAAAAAAGAACCGGCCGGAAGTTGATCGCCATCAACAGGCGAGACATGTTAACTTCGAGATGAAGATCTCTGTCAAGTACGATCGCTAGTTCATGCCTGCCACGGCAGACCTGAATGTTGGCTTGTCTGCCCTGGCCCCTGCCTCAAAATCAGTGGCCACGTCTGTCTGAACTATTGACTGCGGCGAGGAACTCCTGCATAAGAACCTGCATTAGCTCATGTAAGCATCGTGTACGCGATGCGCTTACGTTAGACAGCTTGAGCATTTCCACCTGCACTCTTTGAATTATTGTCACGATATATTCGTATATATACGGCTAGTACATGCCGAATAATCTGTAGCATTACCTAAATATTGCTGTTTTGTTATTGTGTTTGTTGTGTTGTCTATTGTGTGAAATGGCGTTATTGGTGGGCCTACTGGACAAGCTTCGTGCTCAATCTCAGAACCAACTTGCTGTGGTTGTGGTAATAATTTTCGCCCTTGTCTTGCGATTCATTCTTCGATTACGGCCCTCGCTACCCTCAAATGCTCCGGAACTCTACAAGGGCCATAATGCCGTCTTTGGCCTGCATCCATTCTCATCATCCCGTGCCGATTATTTGGAAAGGGGAGTAAAGCAGAGCAGCAATGGACATTTTAGCTTCTGGTACGGCGGAAATCACATTGTGGTCTTGTCTGGTGAAGCAGCGAGGACAAGTTTTCTGACTGCCAGAGGGCTGGATCCCAGTGCTGGGTAAGCAATGCTTTGATTCTTTCAATTCTATACAAGCATAGCAGTTTAGTCGCTAATTGTCCAGGTTCATGGCACTTTTTGGAGCATTTCTCAATGTCGACGAGTTGACCAGTGCCAACACGCGGAAGAGCTCACTTGTGTACAAGCGATGTGCGCAAGAGGATCACCTGTCGACGAACTTACACCATCTTGTAACCGACTCGGACAACGCGCTCCGGAAAATTGGCGTCGCGGGTGTAATTGACCCTCTCAAGTTCATAGGATCTCTCATCTATCAGCTCACGCATCGTATGGCTGGGGCGCATGATATTGCCAGCGATCCTCAGTTGCTGCAAAAGACCTTGAACGTTTATGGTCCGTTGGAAGATAGCCCGTATATTGATGTCTTGTTCCCCTGGCTACCCACTCCCTCCAAGCTCGGGAAGATGGTTGGATATGCGAGACTTCACTTTACTATCCAGGGTATCGTCAAGAAGCGGCGAGCAGGGGCCAAACGAGACACGGATATGTTGCAAAAGACCATTGATGAGGGTTTCAGCGATGGCATGATATCACTGGTATAATCTCTGACTGGTCCTATGTGAAAAATGATACATTTACTAATTTCGGGTAAGCAGATCGTCATTGGTGCCATCCTTGCGGGCGTATTCAACACGACTCTTGCGACTACTTGGAATTTATGCTGCCTGGCAAAGAGCCCAGCATGGCTGGCAAAAGTCAAGAAAGAAGTCAATGACACTATTGATAGACATCGATTATCAGACTCGGAGCCTCTTCTGGACGTTTTTCAACGTTTCTCACTCAAAGAATGGGAAACTCAATTTCCTATTTTGCAGTTGACCATAAAAGAAAGCATTAGATTTACAATGGCAGGAGCTGTTGTGCGCAAGAATATCAGCGGAAAGGACATGTCCATTGGAGGCACTCATCAGGTTGTGCCTAATAATAGTCTTGCGGTAAGTTGCCCTTTTTCGGTAGTGCTTTTTCACGGTGTCATTGCATAATGGAATCGCGAGTGCTGATGGAAAACCCCGACTTGATGTAGATTCACGCTACAGCAGATGCTCATATGAGTGAGGGTATCTACACCGAGCCCCTCAAATGGGATCCGGATCGATTTTCTGGAGCCAGAGCAGAAGGGGTAAATGTTCCTCATTCCTATCTAGGTTGGGGTTCAGGGAATCACCCTTGTCGTAAGTCGCCCATCAACCTCAGCTGATGAGCGTAGATGCTAATCATTTTGTATAGCTGCCAGAAGAGTATTTCCAACGTTTCCCCTCATTTTACAAAGAAGTAAACGAAACTGATAAGTTGTAGTTTGCCGAGCTGAATGTTGTGGTAGCTAATGTTTTGTTCATCGCCTCTTATGACTTCCACATGTGCGACAAAACAGGAAGAAAGATTGATGATCCCCTCCCAGACTTGATTTACAATCGAATGGGCGCAGGGCGGCCGAGGGCGGAGATGTACATGAAGTGCCAAGCCAGAAGCTGAATAATGCTAGAAGACTATCCTGCCTCTGTCAAGTTTGATGTTCGGAATTGTCACACTATACACTAGCATGGCTTTGTAAGTCAAACGAGAACACAATTTGAGGACGAAATACAATGAAATTCAACATGTCGCCTTGCCCGAAATTCCACATCATTCGTCTGCAGATCCTTCCTGTTCCTCTTCCAATGACAAGAAATGATGCCTTTGAAAAGCATCCGTCTCCCGAACAGAGCCTGTCTCCTCCACCTTTCTCATGAAGTCGGCAGCCTGTGCCGCCCAGTCTCGAGTTTCCGTACAGAACCTTCCATCGCCATTGATAGTGTCAAACTGAGTCTTGATTCTATCCCAGAGCTCCTTCTTCCACCTCACAGACGCCATGACCTTTATTTCGCACATTGTATACAGCACTTTGCCCGAATACAGGATCCATTGTGCAGCTGCAGCCACATATGGTTCAAACTTGTGCGGCTCATGCGATGCAGCTACTGTGATGTTACGTCTGATGAATGGCAACACCAAGGCGCTCAAGCCCAACAAGGCAGCCACTCCCCCCGACAGAAGGCGTGCAAGGAAGGCAGAGAAGTTTAGATAAGCGTCCGCGGCATCCGGGTCCATCTCGACTTGGCGCCAGCCCACAAAGGTACCTGCGAGGTTTGAGATGAGATATCTCGAACCATATCGAGAGGTAGGTAAAACTCACCCTCATGTCGCTCCCACATCCACTGCCCGAATCCGTCATAGTGATTCTCTCGATTAAGCACCCAGAGCTCCTTCTCCACGATCTGCTCAGAGTCTGAATACAGCGCTGGGACCTTGTGACGCGGCAAACGACCGAGTTGGTCGATCAGATTGACCAGGCGGTCTTGACCCGGGTGTGCAGCCGGGACCTTCATGGCTGCCGTGGCGAGACAGTCGTACAGGTAATGCTGCCATCCCTGAGGAGAGGGACCGCTCACGGTGCCATTCTTCTTTTGTTCTTTGCTAGCCGAGTTGTAAGCTACGAGCGTCTTTTGGCAGTCCTCGGTAATTATCTCGTCAATGGTCCTTGCCGCAGTTACAGCATCGATTCTATCGTGCACAAGATCGTTGAGTACACTGATTATTTTCTTCTCGTTGGCATCGTCGTCAGGTCTGGCCAGCCCGAGATCGATATCAAACATCTTCAAAAAGAAGAAAATTGATGAGAGCTGTCTGAGATAGCTTACGATGAACATGGCTGGTTCCAGAGTGCTTACGCAGATACCGCCTGAAAATGATATTATGCTTTACTTGGTGGGCCCAATTGCCAGGCATCCAGCGTCTGTAGGTTCGGGGGCGTTAAAATGGGGCTTTGGGGGCTAAGGCTTTTCAACGTTTCTCGAAAACATGGGCATTCGTAAAAGATGGACCCAGGGAATTAAAAAAAAAAAGGGATTTCAAGATTTTGAGTTAATGCCGATGGATTCAACCGTCAATCTCAAGATCATATGCAGGTACCATAAACCTTAGGTGTGCTGCAGCGCGTCCCACTCTCCAAGGTTCACCCTGTTCTGCTTGCCACTGGTTTTATTTCAGCTTGAAAACTTCGAGTCAGTATGATGAACTTTACCAGAAAAACCCCAATGCAGATGTTCGGCAGGGTCGGTAATCGTGGCGATTATAAATGATGACCATTGACCACAACGCACAAGTATATCCGTAACGTCGCGTGTACCCGTAGCTCGCCACGCGGAGTATACCTACTTGGGTGCAATGTGTGTTTGCATGTATACATGTCCATTAGATGCAAGCTTGCCGGTGCCTGTTTAGTAGAATGACAGCATAGGGCTGCGAATCAACTCAATATTCAAGACATGTGTCTTTCTCTCGGACCAATCAAGCATTTCTTGGCCATTTCGGTCAAGATAAGAGGAATGTTGCAACCAGAAATGTCAATCCTGCAGGTCGTACAGAGCATCCATCTTCCTCGGCCACAGCTGAACAAGGTGGTTGGACGAAAAAAAAAGGGCCGCTAAACCCAATTCTGCGACCGAGGCGGCGGCATCCTTAAGGCTTGGAACCCGCTCAGCCCAAAAGTCCAGGCGATTACCCGCCCGTTCTTCCTTTTAGTAGCTCACGGCCAACTTAGCTGCCTGGGCCTCATTACTATTTTCCCATCAAAAGGGTGCAACGCAACTAATATCGCCATATTCCTCTACAAGTCTCTGCTAGGCCGTTCAGCTTTCTCTCCCTGTATAGATTATCCTCGCATCGAAGTGCCATGGCGTTTGAGCCGGCGCAATGATCAAGGCGCGGGGAAGGCACTTTGACATGAACATGGTGGTGACTGCCTACTACTTGGCCTAGAGTTGCGAACGAACACTGACGACCTTTCGCTTTCCGATCGCTTCATTTCTCGCTGGCTATTGACACATTTGCGACTGCTTTTACGAAAAAAAAAAAAAATGGCAGACAGCAGCTACGTCACTATCCGGTCGAGGTCAAGGTCGCGGAGAGACAACGACCATGACTCTACGGTAGGTACATCGAATAGAACACTCGATAGGTAGAAGCTAGCTTACATACTTGTTAGTACGGTTCAAGTGCTGGGAGCCATAGGACTCCTGCCGCTGCGACTCATGATACCAGCCGCGTGAATTACCATGTCAAGCACGTATCAGACTTTGCCAAATCGCTTGAAGATGTAGGTGCCCTTGACTAGTCACAAGTCTGCGACTATAAGCGAGCAGGTAATGTGAAGTAATGTTTCTAACATTGATATCATTAGTCGGCGGCTCGCGCCTTTCCCAACCGAGGGCGAACGCAGAGGTATAAAAAGGTGCAGGCTCTGCTGCTGCACTGGCGTACTGACGACTTGTTTGTGTTGCCCGAGTTGGAGGATCTTGACAGGTGCTTTCGAGATGACTACAGCTTTGAGACTGATATCTTCTCCATCCCCTCCGATAATCCCCATTTAGAGCTCATGATGAGGGTCGGACAAATGATCAAGGAGCACGAGTCCAACGATACCTTGTTTGTTGTCTATTACGGCGGTCACGCAAGGATAGACGAGTCAAGACAGAGCACCTGGTGCGCGTAAGTTTGCTTGAATCCTCCAAATAATATGCTCAGCAAACTAAAAGATTTCATCCAGAAATCGAAGTCCAGATTCTCCGTGGCTCCAGTAAGTATCCAGAGACCAACACACCTTGTTGAATATTTGCTGATAGGCCTCGAGGTGGTCTGCAATTCAAACCCTGTTGGAAAGGTCTCTATCCGATGTGCTCATCCTCTTGGACTGTTGTGCTGGCGCCGCCAGTGCCACCTTTCCCAACGGAACTAGCATTACAGAAACCATATCTGCTAGTAGCTGGGATGCTATTGCGCCTGATCCTGGGAGATACTCTTTCACCAGCGCCTTGCTCGAAGTCATGTCAAACTGGAAATTCAGGACGTATTCAGCTGCCATGCTACACGCAGAGATTTTGGCCCGACTGAAACATCCGAGACCAGTCATGCTGAACGGCAGAAACTTTGAAGCTCGATCGACCCCCGTGCATTTTATGATGACCTCAAATCACAGAGCCCCAAGTATAGAAATAGCGCGGTTATCCTCAGATGATAGGATGACACCACCTATACCCCCGGAAGCCGATGACAATGTCTCTCAAATTGCGACGGGTAGATCCGGGATAACCCAGGACGTGGTCAACTCGGAGCCGAATGAAGACGTCCCCCACGTCATGATTTCTCTTGCCCTGGAGGAGAATCAAAATCTTGATGTCAACGAATGGGAGGAATGGCTCGGCGCGTTCCCGGCGATTGCCAAGTACGTCAAAGTGCAGGGTGTGTTCAAGAGTCATTCGACACTACTGCTCTTGTCTGTGCCTGTCATGGTATGGAACTTGCTCCCGGACAATATGGCCTGTAACTTTGTCGCCTTTATTCGATCAAATAACCTGGCCACTCAGAGTCAAGGGGCAGCCAGATCTACCACAGCAGGTGATGCCGCTGCCTCAAAGTCCATGCCACCCGCTACGTTGGGAGAACCAAAGCACCCGACCTCTACAGATCCAGGGCCGACGCCATCTAGCAACCCAGAATCAGCGAGATCCAGTAATACAGCACTCCATCTGCCACAAAGCAATACATCATCGACAGCGCCTTCTCGGATAATTGGCAGACGACAAACTGCTCCGACGCTTGGCGCCATGACCGACACACCTAGTGACAACATTGCGAAACAACCAATACGCAACCAGAATCGTAGCTCGGACATGAATATTCCCATGGCTAGCAAAAGCATTCAAAAGCGACATGAGCTTGCTCCCCATGTGCAGGCACGACTGGAAGTATTCTTCGAGGGAGACCAGGCGCCAAAAGCTGAAGTCATAGAGTTTTTGGCGTCTAATATGGGAGTTGAGACAACTGACATTCATGTAAGTCAAATGTGGTCTCATTACAAACTTAAATTCTGGTCTAATCTTGCAAAAGGCATGGTTTGCGCACCGGAGAGAGAAACAACAAGTCCACAACAAGCTTGTAAGTCTTCGCCTCGATGATCAACGCCAGGCATCTTCGAGGAAGGGGACTCGTATGATCTTGGCGGGACACCTCAACAACCTGCTAGAGATTGTACCTCTGGCACAGATACTCCTCATAGACCTCCGCTCTACTGCCGACTATGACAAATCGCATATACATGGGGCAATAAACCTCAGAGCACCAGCTTCTTTCATTCACAGAGCGACGCTTCCGATGATCGAGAAAACGCTCAAGGATGAGATGAGTCGTGAAACCTTCGACAATTTCCCAAATTGTGAATGCGTGGTGTTTTATGACCGGCGCATCGAGTACGACTGGGAATGTCCAACGGCAAGGGCACTCATTCATAAATTCAGGGTTGACGGATGGCTGGGCCAAGCCTTTATACTCAAGGGCCCGTACCGCGAATTCTCCGATTCCTTTGACAAATACATAACGGGTCAAAAGATGACTGGCAATGCCAAAAAGTATCTTGAGAGCTTACAGGAGAGGTCTCTCCAGAAATCTGTAAGGCCTTATATAATCAGACCGGCACCATCTAGGCTAACTGTTTCTCATCAGAACGACCATCAGGATGAATACAATGAATGGTTGACACTTCTTGAGAATGAGGACCGTGTTCCCCCAACAAACCTTGCACCGGCTGCCAAGGCGCAACGCATCGATGCAATAATATCGCATCAGAAGGACCTAGAAGACGATCTCAAGCGCCATCACTCTGCATTGTACAGGAAAGCCCTTGAACTCAATCCAGATGTGAATGATAACATCATAGCCTCCATGGTGGAGCCCCTGGCCTCAGCCATCGAGCAAATATCTGGGGGCGGGAGAGGAGGAGGCGGTCCAGGCAATGTGAGCTCATATCACCAGCCAGAAAAGCTACTTCGGGAGACGTATAATACCAGGGACCACGATCCAACAGATTCAGACGACGAGCTACGCGCCAGGGATGGTGCAACCCAGAAGACAGATGTCAAGACAGGGCCAGAGCAGGCTTCTACTGAGTCAGTCAAAGAACGGATACGCAGCATATGGAAGACACGAAGCGTTAGGTGAAGCCGCACGTATCAGGCATAGAAGGCGGCTATGTTAGTAGTCTCAGGTTCTGTATCAGTTGCCATCGTCGGACGAATACTTGCAGAGCATAGAAGACCTAAGAAGGAAACCCCAAACATGGTGTCCCTTGAAGCTTGGCGTTGGTTGCCTTTGGGGGGGTTTTGGTGAATACCGAATTGGTCCATTTTGACAGCTTCCGCAGGCCCGATTTGATGTCTAGCGACCATCTGATTCAGGGAGAACCCCTTCTTCACTCTAGTTGCGGCATGATGTCGGGGAGGTTTAGGTTATAGTCCGAGCGGAGGCTACTACTGGCTCAGTGTTTACTCATGGTTTTCTCTCTATTTCTCACATATGTAGTTGGAGACGTCGCAACAAACGAACGAACCAAAAACAAGCATATTCGGACGATTCTGAAGCTGTCACGGCCCTAGTCCCCATTTAATGTTGCCGTGAACCGACCCTGGAATCGCCAAAGTTACTTGTTCTGTACCATGGTCACGAATCTGCATTGACGATCCGTGGCAATGGGACACACCAAGACATACATGGACCTAGTTGTCTGCAGGTTGCGCCAATTGGGTGGATTGGTGCCAAATGTCGTTCCCGCGGAGAAAAAGCAAGAAGCAAAGTGTGACGAAAAGCCCATGTTGTTGTTGTTGTTGTTTTTCCTTCTTCCATGGAACATGTGAAGAAGAAGGCACGAGACGGCCCGTCTGATGTGTGTGAAAGCTTAAAAAGAAGCGACCATATCCATTTTCCACGGCGTCAGGCGCCCCCCGTCCGTCCGTCCGCGCCCCCGTTCCCCCTCAAGTTTCTATTACCTGACGCGCCCGCCGAGCCGCGCTGAACCTGCGCGCCGAACTATAATTCATTGGGCGGTAGCTCGAAACACCAACAAGAGGAGAGGGAAAAAAAAAAAAAAAAACACCAAGCACATGTGAACAGTGACCTTTTCCTTTTTGTCTTTTGTCGGATCCGAAGAAAGTCGCTTACGTAGGTAACACCCCCCATGAGTCCCGGGGAAACAAAAGAACAAACCACGCCCGTCAAAGACAAAGATCTACCACCCCGGATGTGTCGTGTTTCCAGTTCCGAAAGGTGTAAGGGACACAAAAAAAAAAAAAAAAAAAAAAAAGATGGGATGATGCCGCGACGTTTCCCAATCGAGTAAACCTTGCTTGACAGGAGCAAAAACAAAAGGAACACACGAAAACGAACATGTCACAGTAACATGAAGCAAAATATCCATTACACTCACTGCAACCGTAATGTCGGGAATTTTTCAAAGTTGCGTTAGCCGCCGCGCAGGCGGATCAAGAATGGCTACGTATAATTCCCCTCGACTATGATGCCCACTACCACCCCTCGACTACCACGGGACAATGTCCGAAACGTCTAAGCCATACGGCATGATACGTCGGCATGAGTCTTTCTCATCTTCTTCTCCCATGCTCTTGGTGACTTTTCTTCTTCTTCTTTTTTCTCCCAATCTGTGGATGGGGTTTGAGAAGATACCAAAAGTCCAGGTTGAAGTAGAAATGAAAGTTCGTCTTCTGGTGAAATCAGGGGGTGGCTTTACGAGTTCCAGACAACCCACGAGCACTATATGCTATATGCAGTATGTGACAAGAAGGGCAATACTTGGGAAAGCCTTTTTTTCTTCTTTCTTTCTTCTTGGGTTGGTTCTGCTAACGAAATGCCCGAGTGTCAAACACGAGCCCTGGGTCCTTCTTGCGCACGTCAGTTGAACTTTAATTGATTGATGGATCAAATGTACGCACAGTAGTGGTTTTATCCCTCAGCTGATTCTCAGGCAAAATAAATTTGTTTCCTTGCGACTCTTTCTTTTCTTGTTCCTCCCCTTACTCTTTTAGCCCTCAAGGTACGTCGCAAGTACAGCTACCTATGTCCCAGGGTGTGCGATGTCACCTACGGTTGGTGTTTAAAAAAAAGGTCAATATGCGTACTATAATAGGGCTGGTCACCAACAATACGTAATGTTCATCTATATAATTCTCCGTGTATAGATACATCCCCCCACTTGATAGGATAGGACCAAAAATTCATGTCATGCCGTAAGCTGACAGAACCATGACAGTCAGACTTTGACATAGGTTCCTCTTCCCGGTAGTCCTTTGTTTGATTGATATTGATTGAAAGCACCAATGATGTGAGAATTTTGGTTTTTTGCTTTGCCGTTGGCGTTGAGAAGGATTTTCCTCTCCTTTTCCTTTTGGTCTCCTTCTCCTTCTGCCAATTCCTACGTGGGGAAGGGGTTGGAAATAAGACTGTTTGAGGATATACCAATCTACATTATTTCCAAGTTCTGGCCTTGAGGCGCAGCGTGTATCGTGTCGTCTGATTAAACCCTCCCCTTCAAATCGTCCACTTCCATCCTCGTGCGTCGACGTTTTGCTTTTACAGCATATTCTCCATACGATGGAGGAAATGAACTGAGACAGACCTCTTTGCGCAACCCCCCGTCTTGATCCCTTGCCCTCCCCCATCCTGCACGTGGATGGGAACTTTCATGGAATTGCCTGTGGGCAAAATGTATGCACAATGGCCTTATATTTTTCATCTGTAACCCTGTTTTGAATGGATACAGTGTTCAGTTATGGGGTTCGAGAAGAAGGAAATACTACATCAAAAAGGCCAGATGCCGGCGGCATAGTTTCCCCCCTTTACTATTGCTAACGTTTATCATCTCCCTATATTGATTAATATGTACTTGACTATCTTGACGTTCTCGCCCTACGATTCCCAGCCCTGGATGGGTTTTCCGGAAATGGGGGCAAAGAGAAAGAGCAAGCGGCTTACGTATGTTTTCTTATGATATGCCCTTTCATCTACCCTGTGAAATATCGACATCATGCAGCAGCATTGCAGCGAAGCAGACAACTGATCACCCTTACCTGGGCACACACACACACACACCCGGGATGGAGATCGATAATGCACCTTCGGGACCCTCTCGCCGTCAAAGAAGGCCTGGGTATGGTCATACCATGTACAGAGTATATATCCACACATCCACACCCACACCAAGTGTCCACCGGTCGATGTCATCCGTGCCCCGGGGGGGAAGACCGTTTTGTTTTTTTCCTTGTCCCTTTCTTTCAAGTGTGGCTGTCACAGTAGTGCTGTGGTAGTAGTGTACGACGAACATTTGACGACTACGTGACCAGCCGGTAATAAGGTACAAAGTACACGCATCTTCTTTTCTTTACTGACTCAGGGGTGGCTTGACCCAATTGACCCCCCTCCGTTTTGCCCACCCTTCCCCTTCTTCTTTGTCTGTTGAACTTCCCGCGGCCGAGCCACCGGTTCCCGGCCCCCTGAAAAGACAAGAAAGTTGTGTGGGAGAAAAAAAAAAAGAGGGTCAAGGAGATTCAAAAGGTCGATTCTAGCCGATGGGCATAAATCGGGGCTGGCGATCTCAGCCGGCAGTCTCGCTCGCGGTCTAGAGTGGGTCATCACAACGTTCAACTTCTCTCTCTCTCTTCTCTCTTTGGTGTGTACTCTGTATGTGTATGTGTGTATCCCCCAGCGGTCTTTAGTTTGCAGTGGCTGCCCTGATTCAGGTCTTCTGGGGGCCCCCCCTCCCTTCTTTAAGCGAAACCTCAGCGTGTCATTCACCGGAGACCCGCCAAGAGAGAGAGGGAGAGAAAACATCGCTTCGGGGGGGTTCGGTCACGTTGCTAGCAAACCTAGGGAATGCAATTCGGGAATGGGGAATTCATCCAACCATGGCCGCAATTAGACCTGGGAAGAATATCGGCCATGTCATGACTTGGGTTGGAACAGCCAGGGGTGCTCTTTTTTCGACAATAGGCGACGCGGGGGCCAAATGGTGGCAGCAGAAGGAGAATTTAAAAAAAGGAGTGAGGGGAGTGTAGAATGCTACTCTACCAAGACAAGAAAGAAAGAAGCCACACATGTGTATTCGTAGGTAATGTACCATGTAGCTTGTGAAAGAGAAAAAAACGGTGTCGTCGTCGGAATCTTCCATCCCACCCACCCTGGACGTCGGATTGATTGATGACAGGTGCTTGGGCCACATTCAAGACATCACATACACAAGAATTGTCCAAGAGACAGTCGTCGGTAATACATCACTGACTTGCAGCCTCCTCGACCAGAAGACGGATTCTTCTGGGCTCGCTTCTGCAAAAGCCCACAAAGCTACGGTACGTTGACGACAGCAGATGGCTTTTTCTTGCCCTGGCCAAGTGACAGCGCAACGAGGTACTAGATACGACGTCCCGTAAGCCACATTTGTATTGTACATTCAAGACAGGTAGAGACGTGACAAGCATTCTACTTGAATTCAATCTAGATCTAGGCGTGTTAAACTATGCAGTCTAGCTCCGTTATTCTCCATATCCATATACGTACCACTTTTCTATACCTACGTAATTCTTGATGTTTGTTACAATCTACCTACCTAGGTACTTACGTGTCCAATTCAAAGGGGGGGAAATCAATTAATGCTTTGGAACAATCCAAAAGGAAGGGCCTGGCCTTCGATGGTCAAAGAAGACATGTTCTTCATACGGTCGAAGCTTTTGCAGTGCGGATCGATCTTGAATTCTTTGTTCGCCCTCTTCCCCCTCCTCCTCCAATCCCATCCCAAGTCTTTTGTCTCCCCCAGTGTGTCCACACAAGTCCCAACTTGACCCAGTTGGAAAGAAACCAGGCCGGTGGACCCCCCCTAACCCCCTCGCTTAACAGGGCCCCGTTCGGCGGACGGGAGTGGGAATCCATCAATGCTTCCCCCCCTCTACGCTACGCTAGGTACTCAAAACTTGGGTACAGGTTAGCAGGGGGGGCTCATGTCTTTTGTTCGATCCTGGGTCCATGGCCTGTAGCCGGGATCTTGAGTAGTAAATCTTGGAAGAAAATCGCGTGTAAAGGTTGTTTTTCTTTGCCCTCTCTTTCGTGTGCTCGCACTTTCTGTAATGTTGCCCCGCCTGTCGGTCAGGCCCAATTTTTTT